AAAAAAAAAAGAAAAAAAAAAAAAGATTTGAAAGACAAATGTTGATCTTAGTGAAATGTTTGAAAGTATTTGATCCAAATGGGACCTTGATGGTGAGGTCGACCCATTTCATATTGTTTTCTTACATTGTACATAGTCTTTTTCTTTTTTTGGTCTGTACTTTTTTCAATACATAATGTTGTGGGTCATGCTCGAAATTTAATTTACTTTTTTTTTTTATTAAGTAATTTTTCTCTTATATTGAAAGACAATTATACTTGCACTGATATTCTTTTAATTTATGTATAACGTCATGTTTTCATAACACACTATAAATAAAATCATGATATTTTATAGAATAAATATTCCATTTTTTTACATCAATATATTAACGTCTATGAACCTATAAAACACAACAAGGCCCCAACCAAAATGACTTTTAGCTTTCGAAACCCGTTATAAGTTCTATCCATATACGTCGTTATAAGTTCTATCCATATACGTTCCTATCGCCCAAACTCGTACTTGATATACAACACTTGTGTTATTTAATTGGTCACAAATGCGATAACATGCAAATGCATTATGGGAAAATACTATGGTTCCGTTACGGAATCATTCTGTCGAGAGTTTTAACCGTTTGATCATCATGTAGTTAGTATAGGATAGATGATCCAACGATTAAAACTCTCGACGGAATTGTTCCGTAACACGACCGTAACATTCCGCTGCATTATGATTTGTGAATATTTAATTTGGAGAATTTATTATGAGAGCCATCTTATGAACATGGGTTCTGTGCCCATGCCGTCTACATAAGAATTTCAATTGTATTGTGGCGACTTATCATGTGATTTGGAGCATCATTTTCGTAAAAACAAATCCTTTTGTTTTGTACGTGGCACTATCTTGTGATGCCGTCTATATATATGAATTTCAGAGAGATGTTACTGTCTCATTACGGAAACCATTCCGTGGAGTTTGTAACCGTTATAGTTGATTTAACGGTTATAAATCCCAACAGAATGGTTCCGTAACGGGATGGACCGTAGCATTTCAATTATATGAATCCGGTGTTTTTTTTCTTTGGTTAATAATTTGAAATTTAAGTGGAAGAAGGGCTATTGTGTACAAATTTGAATAAGAAAACTCTTGTATTTAGTCTAATTGTTAGACAATTTGATTTGTCATCTTATTTGTACAATAATTAATTTGTGTTTATATTATTAAACATAGAATAAAACAATAATTTGTAGTAATATTATTAAACATAGTACTTCTATTCATATTATTTTTTTAAGTATGATATTCTTTAATTAAATTATACACATTATTTAATTAAATTATACACAATCGTAAGAATAGTATTACGAAAAACATTTAAGGTGATTCACAATCATACCTACTGATTATATATTTTTTAGGCGAATGCATTGTTCGACTATTAATTGATGACGGATTGTCCCATTTACACAAAACATCGGTCGCGACCCGAAGTCACAATGTGACCTCGGTCGCACAATTTGTGACCTTTTTCTTCTTTTTTATTTTATTTTTTATTCCCTTGACCTAACGAGTGAAAAATAGTCTTAGTCAAGTTCAAATATGCTATTTTTTACCACATTCTGCAAACATCCAATTGAGCCCATTGTAACACCTATAACTCTTTGGGCTTGTTGAGTAGTAAAGACTATGCTCGGGCACCAGATTGTAGCAGCCCAAATAGTAAAGTTATTGGGCTGTTTTAAGTGGGCCTTTTTTGTAGTGGTCCAAAAAACAACAAAAAGACTGCCTCAAATTAATTAATTGAACAAAATTCTTGTGTGTTTTTTTTTTGCTCTGTTCGCCGGCTGAGGAAATACTGCGCAATATCCATAAAGCCGCCGGTGAATAATTTTTCAAAGCCGCCGGGTAAAGATGGGATTCACGAAAGAGCAGCTGCTTGCTCGTTTACAGGTTAGTTTATCCTTTTTATTTTTATTTTTATTTTTAATTTTCTTGTCCCATTATACCGTCTCGTAACTTTGAAGATGGAGCCATGAAGTGTTTGCAATTCGGACCAAGATCCAATTTTTATGTGTTCATAACGCAGTCCGTGTTAACCTAGGATGTTTTGATTCTTGTGGTGATGCAAGGAGAATGGTGGGACTTTATGTTTTTGCAGAAAATTGAACTTATTCTGTTATTCAGAGTTTTTGTTGATTAGTTTGCTTAAGTTGGATTTGATTTTAGTGATATTGTCCAGCTATGGCTTTCTTGGCTTAAGGATCCATCTTATGCGTTACTCTGTGGATTTCGAAAATTTAACTAAGGTTGATCTGTTTGAATAGTTTCCTATTATCAATGGAGGTGGTCATGGATGGAATATATCACATTCAGGTGTATGTGGGTTTATGTTAGTGATAATTTCTTAATTTAGTTTAGCAAACGGAACAATTGTTAAAGGTCCGAACGTTGAACTTAATGGTTTGCCTTCAAGTTCTTGGATATTTTTGTGTTTATCCTTTTATTCAATGTGATTGTGCATATTGAGAGAGCTGTAAGTTTCTTAGTTGGTCTATTGTGGAAGAAAGACTTTATATTTCAGAAACCCGTGATGTATTTGATCCACTTTGATGGATTATGTATTCAAATGGGTGATTAGTTTTTTGCAAATCTGTTTATGTTTGGTTATTTAGTTTGCATGATATCTCTTTTCTTGTTTCTAATCAGGAGCTTCAAATCGGTTATTCCCTGTATGACCATCCCGTTGTGTTAACAGTGGAAGCTCAGGTTATTTTTACCCTTTTATTCGTCCCCCTTCAAATAAAAATATTATTGTGGAACTTAAATTTGTGTTATTGCATCAGGCGAAGTATGTTGGGCACTTGAAAGGTGGATTGTGCAAAAATTTGTTCTTGAAGGTGAGTTTTGATGACACCTCAAAGAATGCTTATAATATTCTTTCTATTGCGTATGTTTTTAAAAATCATGACTCGACTGCTCGTTTTATGTTCCATTCAGGATAAGAAACAAAGATTTTATATAGTTTCTGCCTTGGCCGAGACAAAGGTAGACCTAAAAGGTATATCCTAAGTCTTTTCTAAGCTCTATTCTCTAATGGTGGAAATCAATCGGTAAAGTCTTTTGTTATCATTTTACAGTTCTCTCTCAGAGGTTGGGTTTAGGGAAAGGAGGTCTAAGAATGGCTCCAGAAGAAGCACTTGCAGAAATTCTTCAGGTTTTGTGTCTAATTTAATTTATATCTTTCTGGATTATCAAGTTTTATGATGATTGAACTAATGCCTCTGTTAAATTTATTTAAATATGACTGAAGGTGCCCTTAGGTTGTGTTACTCCTTTTGCACTTGTGAATGACTCGGCAAGGTATGCTTATCGTTTCCTTCTTGTCTGGGCTCAAAATATCGTATATTTTTTGTCATAATTTTTTTTTTCTTCACTTTTTGCTGTGAAATTGTCTTTTGACGCTGTCGATGTTCCACTTTTTTTGAAGGCATGTTTCTTTATTGCTCGATCAAGGGCTTAAGTGTCAGGAAAGTTGCCTCTTCCATCCAATGTCTAATGACATGACAATCGGTGAGTAATTAAATTAAAGCTTTATCTAGTTAAACACTTAAAGGAAGTAAGTAAAGGGCAATCCTTTGATGGAATTTTCAGATTGGTTTTAATCCACACGATGCATTTTAGGTTTAATTGCAGAAAGTACCCCTGGATTTTGCCTAACTATAAAAAGAGCTTGTATGTTTTTTCTTTATTTTAATTACAAATAACTCTTTAAGGTTTGTAGTTTCCCTGGAAAAGCTCTCTTCATATCCTATTAAGCTAGTACCTTACTGAGGGGGTGTACTTGTGTAAGATAACTGTAAATTTCAGGGGAATATTTGTAATTTTGATTATTTTTTTTATTATTATTATTTTTGAGGTAGCTTAGATTAAACTTCACAGGGGGTAGCTTATATTAAACTTCACGGGTTGTTTTGTAGTTAAACCTGCATATGTCCTGTTTAAACTTGTTCAACTAAAATTTGTCCGAACCATAAAATATCATTCTACATTATAACTCAATTGTGATTGCCCTACAGCTCTTAATGCATGTGATCTCGACAAGTTCTTGATTTCTATTGGGAAAACACCTGCCTACGTGGACCTCGAGGTAACATCAACATTAGTTGGTTGTAAATTATCTTCTATTTTTTTTTTTAATTATTTAGTTGATTTTGATCTCTCAATGTCAATATTTTAGGCTAATCCTACGGTTGGGAAGGATCAACCTCCAGATCTAGCGACTCTTGTTCCTTCTGATGCAAAAGTCTCGGCTGATCCTGTTGAAAAGAATCATGTTCCAGCGAACAACCAACCGACAGGTGTAAAAGGTACATTTTCAGTCGTTCAGATAAAATGTTTGCACTTACATTTTAGCGGCTTCAAGATTTTGTTATTGATGTTAATCGTGGAATTTTGATTAGTGGCGAAAGCTGTAAAACCGTCCAACGATTCTACGAAGGAGAAACCAACCGATGCTGTGAACTTGTCGATCTCATATGCGGACACCGATAAGTTTGTTGATGAGATTTTGGAGAAGACAAAATCTATTTTTCTCTCAGAGGTGAGAGGGAAAACATTTGCAATAATTGTGTAATGTTTACTCGGGTTTACTTGAATCCCAAAAAAATCGATCATAATTATAATTATAATAACAGTAATAAATTTGATAGTTAAAAATTATGAAAGCCCCCTCGAGGTTTGTAATTACCTTACAACCTTTTTTTTTTTTTTCCTTGTATAGATTAAGGAAGACAATATAAGCAAACTTGGGGTTGAGCTGAAGAGCATTGCTGTAAGTACTACTTATCGACCATGCACAGCGTGGTTTCCTATAGATACTTTATTTCTATTTCCATTATTAGATAGAATAGCTTATACGCGTATTTTTTAAGAAACTACAACTGAGTGACCTTTGTTGCTTATACGTAAAATGTGGCAGACCATATTCAAGAACACGGCTTACACAGAAGGCTTTAGAGCTGGCATTCATCGTCAGCCAAAGAGACTGTAAAGTTTTTTAAGTTTATCCATATTTATCTAAGAGAACAGAGAAAAAAGGGAGAAAATCAGAGGAAAAAAGTGTTTTTTTTTTTTTTTTTNTTTTTTTTTTTTTTTTTTGCTTGGATAGGATATGAAACACGATTGTTTGACCACATTTATCCCTTTTACATGTGATGATTTGACTTTGTTTTGTTTTAGACTGAATTTAGTTCGACAGTATCAAATTAAATGCTGTTCGTCGAATTTATTTTCCCGTTTTCTCAACTTTTATTATCTGTAGACCTTGCAATACTCGAGCATGGGTAGCCCTTCTCGTCTTGTAAGGTAAATTACCATTCCATGTCTTCTTCATGCATATGCCGTTTTGCTTTAAAGAATATTACACCTCCATGATTCTGCTGCTGAAAATCAGGCAAAATAGGGACTATTCATGAGTTATTATTAGAATCATAGAATCATAAGACAAGCTTTTGGCTTTTGCACCAATTCAATATTCTTCTAAGAAACCATCATTATATTTACATCTCTGGTTTAATTTTGATTACATAATTACATTCCGAATTTAGTACATCTTGCATTTTACCGTGTTTTTCACGCAACCGACACACACTAGTTTTGCGTTAGTTCTCACCGGGACGAAGCGAATTCGCCAGCTGGCGGAAACCCCTGCGAGGCCCGCCTTCGCCGCGCGACTCGTTATTCCCGATTTCACGACTCTCCCGTGGGTCCGCCGCCGCCTCATGGCGGCAGACGGGGCACGTGTTGTGGAGCCTCAACCATGGGACGATGCACTCGGAGTGGTAGATGTGCTTGCATGGAAGCTCTTGAGCTTCCGTCCCGACTTTGAACTCTTCCTTGCACACGGGGCACTCTGGGTCGGGCCCCAGATGGGCCGACGAGATCTTGACAGTCGGGAGGGCCTCAATCGCCGAGTCCGGCGCAGGCGGCGGGCCGGGCCTATCGTTCTGGGTCAGCTCCTCTATGAGCTCGTGAAGGCCTGGCCCGTCGAAGTAGTTTCGAGGGTCCGGTCCGAGTGGGCCCAGACTTCCTTGTGGAGGCTGGTTCGGCCCAGTACGCCGAACGATGACCCAAGTTTCGGGCCGTGAGCGTGGACGTGGTCGGGGGCGAGTCAAGATTCCATTCTCAGAATCCCAGCCATCTGTGTCGTCATCGAACGTCGTGTCTCTCCTTCTCGACCTTCTGTGGGCCCGTGTATGGGCCGAATTTGGGCCTCGGTCGGAGCCGTTATCGACCGGCGGGTTGCGTAGCCCAGGCGGAAGCCCGATCATGAGGGTGAGGGCCTCGAAGAATCGGGCCTCGGGGGAAGGGTCGAAGGCGGTGAACTCGAAGACGGATCTTGTGTTTGAGGGGTCGATTTCGTTGAGGAACGTGCCGAAGCAACGGGGGCACATGGGCTCGTCTTCGTGGGGCCCGCGGGACGCGATCCGGACGGGCCGGTGGCATTGGTAGCACCAATAACGGTTGAAGGTTCGGGCTTCATTGGGCCTTGTCCTTGGAGGGCTCCAAGACATGTTCTTTTTTTTGGAGGGGAAAATAAAATGCGACTATTGAGTTGGAATAATGTGAGTGGGGAGATGGGTGAAGGAAAAGCGTGTTTCTTAAATATGAGTTGAGAGACTTTAAAAAGAGTTGTGTTTGTTGGTTGGAAAAGGGATGGCTTTTTTAAGGCGCACAAAGTGATTCTCTTTTATGGTTTCTTGCTTTTTGAGGCAACTGTTTGTGTAATCTTTTAAAGGAAAGGATTATGTGAGGAAAATGAAATTTGGTCATTACGTTTGTTCTTAAAAAAGCGTGATAGGTGAGTAAAAAACATTACTTGGTGATCAAATTATGGGCTGCAAATTAGCTTTATGGTATGGTTTAGCCCATGTAGTGGAAGAGTATGTGTGACAAAGTTATGGTAAGCCCAATTCTGAAAAGTTTGGATTGGGCCTGAATATGTCCATTTTATGGCAGAATAAAGGCAATTTATTATATTCTGAATTCATATCAAATTTACTAAAAAAAAATAAAACCTACTCCCTAGGACGATGTCTCGTGAATTCAATGCAATATATATATATATATGTGTGTGTGTGTGTGTGTTGATATGGTCCGGGATGAGCGGCTTCGGTATTTTGAAGGGTTCTTCCCGATTATGACGTTGGTTCACCTGATTCGGTTCGGTCCAAGTTTGAATGCTCCTCGGTATCTGAAAGAGCACCGGAATTACTCCAGCGCAAGATCCTCCGATGCCCAAGTTAGTATCTCGGATTTAAGGAGAATTGCTTGTAATAAATGTAACAATAATGATATTAATGGGATCTTACCTTTTGGTTGTAGAATTTATCCTTTATGTTGGTATGGCTCATATATTGACAAAGGAAGAGGGCAGGCTGATGCCTGCGAGCGTAACGGAGCGAACGTAGCGAGGGAAGCGGAGCGACCGAGCGAAGTGAGAATAATAAAAGATCTCTCAGCCGCCGTGGACGTAGGCACATTGCCGAACTACGTAAATCTTGTGTTGTTTACTTTTCTCTTTTTTTTTTTTTAATTCGTGTGCCATATTGTCATCTTCTCTCAACACTTTATATAACGTTTAGTTGTACGGTCCTCTTATCGGAACCGTAGATCTCTAAAAGAGCATGATTGGATACAAAATTTCTCAAAAAAATTCAAACATTTTTAACTCAACCATTTTTTTAACTCAACTTTAACTCAACCCCACTAACATCAATATTATCAATATAATTAAATAATATCAATCAATCATTCTTACACACCATATCACCTAAATTCACTATTCATCCACTCACATAATTTTAACTAATCATCACTTCAAATCTTCTCTCTCCTACTTTACATCAAATCAACTTTAATCGTTTTATTTTAAATATTATTTTAATATACCCACTAATAACAAATCATACAAACTTTTTCAAAACTAACCAAACCAAACAAAAAAATCCAAACAAAACCAAAAAATTTATATCCAATCAAGTGACCCGGTTCCTCCAGACCGGTCGATTCTTCGGTCGACCCTCTTGGACTCGGTCAAGCCCCCCCTCGTCCGTGGTGACTAGGGTCGAGGGTCGAGTCTCTCGGACTCGGTCAAGCCCTCTCGCCCGCGGGTACTTCGTTCGAGGGTCGAGCTCCCTTCGGCTCAGTCGAGCCCTCTCGCCCATGGGTAGGGTCGAGCGGCTCGAGCCACCGGTCAACTCTGGGACTTCTATTCTACCCGGTCTTTGTGGGTTTCTCACCCGGTTGAGCCGAGTCGATATTGATATTTTCTGTTGAAGAAAAAAAAAAGAAATGAAATATTTTTTTCCAGTACAAAGTAGTACGTAATTTAAGCAGTGTACTGTCTGCTTAATAAAGATTTGGTCAAAGCAAATATCTGACTTTTATTACTTATTTATATATTTATTTTCTACTGAGTGCAAATAAGATATCATCACATGTTTTTGGCAGTCGAAACACCATTTGCATTTATTGTTTACATGACAAAATCCCAACTACTTTTTTATATTTGCAATAGACATTTCAATGTAACCTTTTATCTCTTGTGACAGTGGCAGATTTTGAATTGGCCCAGTTATATTGGGCCAAATGGCCTATAAGGTCTGCAAATATCAATAACAAATGGCCCAATAATATTAGGCTACTCTGTTTGGGTACTGGAGCAATCTACACTTGTTCACCAATAGTATATTGACACGTGTTTTACAATAAATACAATTTAGACAAGTGTCAATATATTAAGCAATGGATGGCTCCATAAGAAAACAATCCGATTGCTCCATAGAATTTTTGGTCACATTTGTTCATTCAATGAATCAGATGTGTGTGTCTTTAAACTAAAATATCATAATTGAAAATAATGTAAATAAGAATATCAT